CAGGAAAGGACATATCAAGAAACATTGCTTCAAGTTGAAAAGAGACAAGGAGCAAGATGATGATGATGTCACCGGGAACCAAGTTGCAATAGTTGGAGGAGATTTACTTGTCGTATGCGATGAGAATGCCAACAATGTTGCTTGCCATGAGACAACTTGGATTGTGGATTCAGGTGCAGCCTACCATGTTACACCAAGGAAGGAATTCTTTGCTTCATATACTCCAGGTGATTTTGGAGAGCTAAGAATGGGTGATGATGGTCAGGTGAAGGTGATTGGTACCGGTACAGTTTGTCTTGAGACCAGCAATGGCACGAAACTGGTACTTAAAAATGTAAAGCATGCACCGGGTATCAGACTGAATCTTGTTTCTACTGGAAATCTTGATGATGATGGTTTCTGCTGTTTCTTTGGTGATGGACAGTGGAAAATTGCTCAAGGCTCGCTGGTTGTTGCACGAGGTAACAAGTTTTCTAACTTGTACTCTTTGCAAGGCTCTATTTCTGGTGGTTCAGTGAATGTGGCAACAAAGGAATGTGCATCAGAGTTGATACATTCTGATGTGTATGGACCAATGGAAGTTAGGTCACTTGAGGTTTGTTGCTGTATCGCCGGGACGGCGATATCCTCCACATAGTCGGGAGGGGGAGATTTGTTGGGTTGGGGCATCCCTCCTATGCGGTAAATAGGTCATTTTGGACCAAGTCTATTCCACTGCAATATTTGTTAGCTTGATGAGAAAGTTTGCTGACAATTGTTTGGGTTGGAGAATGGGTTATTGGGTAGAAGTTGAAGGGTGGAAGTTAGAGTGAAGAGTTTTTGGGTGGAAGTTAGAGTGAAGAGTTTTTGGGTGGAAGTTTGAGAGAAGAGCTTTTGGGTGGAAGTTGGAGAGAAGAGTTTTTGGGTTGAAGTTGGAGAACAAAGATGATGAGATAACTTCCCTGCTTTCTTCCCTCTTTTCCCCATGTCGGCAGTATGCTTATAAAAAGGGGGTGAACCCATTTGTTTTCTCACCACCACATTTCACCACACACTTCCATAAACTTCTACATTATACATTTATTCATTTTCTTTTCGGCACAAGCAGTAGGCATAGAGAGAAGAAAAATTCATTTTTCTTCTTCTTCCTTTTCACGGCCGTATGCAGCAGTTGAAGGAGCAACATCTATTTCTTCTTCTTTTTGTGCTACTTTGTCGTGGGTTTGCCTAGCTTGTTTGGTGGCACGGTGGCGGCGTGTGTCGGCAGGTTTTGTCGCACGTCTGATGAATTTACCGTGAGTTTGCCGGAGATCTTTGGGGTACTTTTCTTCATCAAATATTTGTAGAGGTCAGTGTTTGTTCCAGGCATCATCGTTTTGGGTAAGCTCGTAATATTTGTATTCTTTTCACCTTGTTCATGGTGGTTGAATATTTTGAGTACGAGTTGATATCCCTTTTTAGGCCTGTGAACGTGATATATTGTATTTGGCCTAGTTGTTGTATTTGATGATTTTTAGGGTGTTTGGCTCGGGTGGTAGCTAGCAAATTTGTACCCAAGATTTGTTATAGTGGAATATTGTGTTGGTGGTGGTCCGTGGTTTTTCCCCGTGGTTTTGGGGTTTTCCACGAAAATCTTGTGTCCCTTGTGTCTGTTATTTATTTTGGCTGTTTTGCACCATCTCGTATTTGCGCTCTTGTCGGTCCTGTGATTTTATTTGTCACAGGTGGTGGATTTTTCCCAACAGCAATAACCCACTTTTTTCGCTGGAAAAGGTTGCCAAAAGTGTCACGATTCCAGGACTCAAACTTTTGTGCTAGTTGTCTCTTGTTAGCTTCAATCCCAGTCGCAGGGTCCCAGACATCTTTCACCATGTTCAGGTAGTCCAGGTGGGTGGTCCACATAGCATTGAACCTGAATTTCTTAGCATTGTTTCCATTAGTTCTGGCAGTAGTTCTCAGCAGAAGAGGAGCATGGTCGGAGCTAATCATTGGCAGGTGAGTGATCTCGGCATCTGGGAATCTAGATTTCCATCCAGTGTTGCAGAGTGCGCGGTCTAGCCGAGAACCTTTGAAGGAGGAGGACTCAAGTCCTCTACACCAAGTGAGTTTTGCTCCTACGAAACCCAAATCAATGAGGCCTTCTCTGAAAATCCAATTGCCGAAGTCTGCACAGCGAGTAGAGGAAAAAGAGTTATTTTTTGATACTTCATCTTTATTTAGAACTGCATTGTAGTCCCCCATGGAAAGCCAATCCCCATGAAAATTTATAGAGTCCTGGGAAAGAGTAGCATAGAGCTCCCTTCTGAGTGAATTGTCTGGACTACCATAGACCAGTGATAGGTACCAGGTACCAATGCTGCTCATTCAGGTGTGAGACCCTAAGCAACATGAACTGGGGATGGGTGAAGTGGATGTCAACCATAGAGGTGGCTTTCCAGAACACCCAAATGCCCCCGGAGAAGCCAAATGCTTCAATCCTAGCCCATTCATCGAAGCCGATGGAAACGCAAATTTTATCAGCATGTTCGCCTGATACCCTTGGTTCGAAGAGACAAAGGATATCAGGCTTGTGATCTCGGATTAATTGTTTAAGGGTGCAGTGAAACTTTCGTGACGCCGCACCTTGGCAATTCCATGAGAGTACTATCATAAAAACAAAGAGAGAAAAAGAAGCATGCTCAAAAGAGCATGCGAAGATCCCCCTGAGAGCCAAAGTTGGCCGCGCCCTGGTTATCTTCTTCCATCGTGTCCTTTGGTGTGTCACAATCAAAAAATGTTCCCCCATCTTCTGGAGGGACGTTCAAGATCGGGGCAGTAGTGTGGTGAGGTGGTCCTAGCTCCGGGGGTCTAGTACTGTGATGAACAATGGATCTGATAATGCTCCCCCTAGAGGAACCGCGGACAAGCACGTGTTCTTCCTCTGCAGCAGCTCGTCTTGGTGTACTGGTTCTGCTATCTCGACCTCTAGCGGTGGTGAACTGTGGAGATCTGACTTCCTTTGGTTGGAAGTCTGGTTGAAAGCTTGATTCAGGTTCCTTGTTGCTAATATGAACTCGGGGATGGATTGTCGCAGGGGCCATTGTCTGAAGATTCTGGGATCTAGGCGAGCTGGGTTGATTATCCATGACCACATCATCGGTCAAGTCATTCAGTGGTGCAAATCGGGTAGTGAGCGGGATGTTGTGGGAGACGGGTTTGGGGTCGGGATCTCGCGGTTGATCTGGGGCCGTCCTCAAATCTTGGACTGGCCTCCTCTCAGGTTTCTTTGGATTCCTTCGTTCCTTGCGTTTGACAATCATCCATGAGCCAAATTTGTCAGTGTAGGGACTGGGCGTATTTCTTGTTTTCTGCTGAGCATTCTCTGTTTCCATCTCTGCAACTTCTGCTGCTTCAGGCAAATTCAGAGGATCATGGGTCCTCCCATCAAAGCCACAGAGTTCTTGCTTATGGCCATATAATCCACACTTGAAGCATATCATGTGGATGCCTTCATACTCAACAGGGTATACTTCATCCGCCAGAGTGAATTTAGCTCGCAATGGTTTTGAGATATCGATCTCAACGCAGACACGGGCAAAAGTTCCTCTTGACGCTAAACATGTTGTCACGTCCTCTTTGATTGGTTTGCCCAGTTGGCGACCAATCTTCATGAGGAATTCTTCCTCGAAGTACTCTATCGGCAAAGTTGGTAAGCGGATCCATGCTAAGAGCTTTCTTGTTACGTTGGACCTGGGTTTGAAATTGGGTTCCCATTCTTGGACGATCAAATAGTGGTCTAGCAACATCCAAGGACCTCCTAACTTGACGTGATCGTAGTCGTTTTGAGACTCAAATTTCGCTAGATAGTATCCATGAACAAGGTCGATCAGTTCCAAGGAGGATTCAAGTTTCCATAGCGTTTGCAGGCGCCGGAGAAGGAGGTTGTAGTCTACCGTTCTCCCAAGAAGATGAATGATGAGAGTTTTGCGCCACGGGCGTCTTAGCCTCTTCTTTTCCTCTTTAGTCACCAAGATTCTTGGACAGTCAGGATCATCGTTTTCGACTGGTTCATCATCATCTGAGACGTCCTCGTCCCGGGGAGAAGGTTCTGTGCTCTTGCGGTTCAAGAAACCCGTCAGACTCTGCCTATAGCTTCCCGGCGGTGGCATAGTGATATTACCATTGGGGTGTTCCGTCGGTGCATCCAGTGGTGTTTCCGGAACGAACTCCAGCAAGGTGTCAGCGGTGGTAAGGTCTGGTAGTCGGTCATCACGCTTAGTCTTTTTCGGATTGCGTTCAAGGACTTCTTGAACCGCCGGCGATTGGAAGCCGGCGACCGAACGATCTTCGGGAGAGAGCATTTCACGTCATGGAGAGAAAAAAAAATAAAAAAGTAATATAAAACATTATGTTTTGTCTAGCCTTTAACCTATACATTATACATTAATCCATTAAAACTTAGCTTTTAGTTACCAATTGTGCACTCCCTGCGAAAGTAAAATGATATAATTCAAAGGAAAATATGAAAAAGTAAAATGATATAATTCAAAGAAGATACAGTTTTAGAATAATCTAGTTTATATTTAATCTGATCAATTTTTTTAAGCATATATTCAACAACATTCATAATTTTAATCCAAACACATGTGTTTTTTTTTTTTTTTTTTTTTTTTTTTTTTTTTTTTTTGCATTTAAATACATGTTTTTGCCGTAATATCTTATGCATGTCACATTTTAAGTCAAGTCTAGATGTACTTTTTTTTATTTATTTATTGAATATTTTAAAGAAGACCCAAATTAAACTATTGTATAGATCTCCTTTTATCCTGTAATTTTACCATTGACTAGTGTCCACCTTGCAATGTAGACTTTATTCAAAATTTTTACCTTCTTAATTATTCATTATCATAGATATATAAATTATTACTATAAATACACAAATTTACTATTGTAAGTACATAAATTCCCTACTGTAAATACACAAATCAATTATTGTTAGTGACATTTTAAAATTGTTTTGAAACATAATAAACAAGTTTGGGTAATTATAAATGAAGTCATAAGAAGCACTTGCATATGTAAAAATCTAGTACAACTAACAGAAGCAAAAAGAGAAACATTCTTGGAGAGTCTCCTGCTTGCGGATTCAAAATACTTCACCCTCATAAAAGTTAAGTCCATCATAACCTTCAATCTACCACGACGTAAGTACCAACTGAGTTGTTCGTAATTCAAAATATTTAACAACATAATACTTACTGAACAACATAGGAAACAAGGTACCATCCTCATCTTACAAGATTAATATTTCAACTTCCACCACAAACATGGCATTGCAGATCTATGTTGCATCCAAACTGAACCCATGGAGCTTCATCATACTAAATTCCTAAAAGGTTAAAACCATATATAATCAAATAGTCCAATCACGGTGTCGTCGTGTTCCACGCAAACAATCTGGGCTTTCGGAGATGCACGAGGAAAACGCAACAACTCCTTTAGGCTTTCGGAGATGTACGAGGAAAACTCAGCTTCGGAGGTATCAATATCAACATATTCCATAATTAAAAATCTCTCTAGTGCAGGGGATTTCGAGAGCAGCATTTTCACAAAAAGCTTTTCGGGTATAGATCCACTAAACCCTTCAATCATGACTGTGTTAAGAATCTTCAGATCTTGCTTTAAAATGCAACTGTTTGGATCCTCCAAAAGTCTTGTACCCGTTGTAATATCACACATACACTGCTATCACACAACAAGAAATGAACAAGTGAATAACACATACAACCATGAAGAAAAGAAACAATCATGATTGCCAAATATATAGTCCATTGGTTTCGTGTCGTACAGCATTTAATGCCGTAATCTTCAGCTCGCATAGGTTGGGGGAATGTTGAAGCAACTGCAAAACAAAGGCAAGCTGCTCTGCACATGCAACACTTAAATCATACAGCTCAATCACTCGCAAATTTATTGCCGTTGGGAATGTCACTGTTGCTATTTCTGCATCTTTACACTTGAAAAAAAAAAAAGATTATATGAGCATTGAAAGAACTCTGTCAATCCTAATAATCAATCAATTTGCATAAAGGAAAAGAATGCAAAAGTAGAGATTCTCACAGGCAACAAACTGGCAATCAAGCAAAGAGTCTTAATTGTTCTCAAATAAAGGGTAAACCATCTGGATTCATCAAGCCTCCAACTCAGAGCACCAATAACCTTCAAGCTTTCAAGTTTTGGACTGCTGATCTCAAAATTAGTGATCCCTTTACAACAACTGAAAGACAGCTCCTCAAGATTAGGAATTTTGTACACAATTCCTTTTAAGATTATCACTGAATTCAACCATCTTGAAAACTAATGAAGTGACGCTGGGAAATATACAACAAGGGATCGGCAAATCAAAAATGAAATCACCCAGAAACAGTTGCTTAATTGTCCAGCAAGAGAATATACAAGATGGCAGCTTATGTTTACCCGAAATAAACAAGTTAAGTTCCTGTACATCATTCCTGGAAAGATAACGACACCACCTATCTAAATCAGACTGCTGGGGCTTAGGATCGGATGCGTGGCGAAGGTGAAAAGTAAATTTCTTAACGGGTCCAGCACGGAGCATGAGAATATCATTTATTGTGCTAATCTGAGCCATACCTTTCTCACATTCGTACTTTGAGAAGCATTCGAAGAAGTCCTTATCAAACACAAGCTGGGCATGCCGCAACCAAACATGATTCCAGTGAGTTGAGAGCAGAGCAGTTCTGGCCGCGTCTCGAATAGGCAAGCACTCCAAAATCCTTTCCTTCACTTCCGCTGGCAGTTCACTTATTGCATCCATTCCTGCATCCGCTTCGGATTTTCTTCGACGACAACTCGCCATTAAACTGGAAACGAAAGATAAAATCGCTCGATCCCCTTTCCAATTCAGCTCACTAGATGTTGGAAACAAAAGAGATTTCGAAGAATTTGGGAAGAAAAAAAAAGAGATTAGGGAAGAAGTGTCAGAAACCCTCGCCTTCTCTGTTCCACTGTCTACTGACCGGATATTTTGACTTTTGAGTTTGAAATTGGAAGAATACATGAAAACTTGGTGCAGGTGTGGGTTATAAATAAAATTATAAATTCATTAAAGAGTTAATACCATTTGAGATCCTCCGAGTATAGTGGTTTTGCCACGTTTAGTCCTATACTTTCAAATTAAACCATTCGTGGTCAAAGTTAACCACCCATGGTCCTTCAAGTTTCGAAATTTAACCAGTCGTGGTGCTTTGAAAGGACCATGGTTGGTTAAAATTTAATAGTTGAAGGACCATGAGTGGTTGGTTAACTTGGACCACGAATGATTAAATTTGAAAGTCGAAGGACCACCGATGATCAATTTGAAAGTTTAGGATTAAACGTGGCAAAATCACTATACTCGGAGGACCTCGGATGGTATTAACTCATTCAGTAAAATACATTATTTTGAAGTATATTATTTGAATAGTGATAATACATTAGAAAAATATTATGTGTACTTTAATTTTTTACTCTCAATTTTTACTCCAAGATCATGAGTAAAATTTAGGGAGTAAGATTTGGGAGTCTATGTAGAACTCAATACATTATTATGTATACTATGAAATAAAGTATATTCAGCATACAAAGAAGAGATAATTTCAATTTTGGTCACATGACTATAGGAGCTTTATTAATTTCAATACCTGACTTTTAAAAGTGTCAATTTACTACCTTGACTATGTAATTTTTGTCAATTTTGGTCATTTCAGCCAAATTGACGGTCAAATTTGGCCGGAAAAATTTAATCCAACACGTAATCTATAATCTGAGGGGCAAAATGGTCTTTTGATCATATTATAAACTAAATGTTGGATTAAGGTTTTCTGGCCAAATTTGGCCGGTAATTTGACCGGAGTGACCAAAATTGATAAAAATTACATAGTCAAGGTACTAAATTGATACTTTTGAAAATTAGGTGCTGAAATTAACAAAGCCCTTATAGTCATGTGACTAAAATTGAAATTTTCTCATACAAAGAATGTACTTTTAGTATATTAATTAAAAATATACCTTATATTTAGAGAAAATACATTATTTGACAAAGAAGAGACTTCATTCCTTATTTTTCTTTTCTTTTTTGCTCTACAGCTATAATATATGATTAATAGAATCATGGACTAAAATAATAGTGATCAGACGACTAAAGTTGACTAGATGACGATATCCTGAGCTTTTCAATTGTATTGCAAAATGATTCTCTCGCACCTTGAGGTCCTCACATACTCAGTGTCGCAATTGACGAAGAACGATTTGAAATCGGGTTGAAGGAGATGAAGACAAGAGACGGGTGAAGGAGATGGTGCAATCCACGATTGAAGAGACGAAGAAAAAAAAAATTAGCGCAAAAAAACAAAAAAAAATTGAAAAAACAAAAATGTCATTGTCTAAAATAGGATTTCACCTGAAAAAGTCATCGGAATGACCAAAAGTGTCCAAAATATGATAGTCGGGGTTGTTAAATGAAAAAAAAAAAAAATTGTCTATGACTAAATTTGGAATTGTCACCAAAGACAGTGATCCTCCGCTGAAATAACTCATTGCGAAAATAATAAAAAATTGAAGAGATGAAAATAACATTACCTAAAATAGGGTTTCACCGGAAAATTCATTGGAAGGACCAAAAATGTCCAAAATATGATAGTGTAGGGTGTTAAATAGCAAAAATGATAGTCTGAGACTAAATTTAAAATTGTCACAAAAAACAAGAAATCTCCATTGGAGTCAATTCAAGTTGTATTTGAGATAATGGGATGCTAGACTCATTTCAAATTTAAATATATAAGTTTTGTAAATTAATTGTATATTTTAAATAATGTATTATTTTATAGTACACTCAAAAAATTGGAACATGTGTAAAAAAGCCGGTGCAAGTTATCTCCATCCCCAAAAAAATTCCCACAAGGACGAGGATGTGAGCAATTCCCCATCCCCACTAGGGAATTTGGCAGTGTAGAGGAATGGGGGGTGATTTCTGGACCAAGACAAGGAAGACGACCTTATTCCCCATCCCTGTCTCACCATACCTCGTTGTCATCCCAAATTATTGTTTGTTTACACTTTCTATGCTCGAGAATCTCTCATTTACCCCTATCTCATCTACCCCTATTTTATTTATCTGTGGTTTTAACATTACCTTATTCCACATTCGTTCACACCTCGTTGCCATGCCAAATTGTTGTTTGTCAACACTTCCTATGCTCGAGAACTACCTCTCATTTATCTGTTGTTTATTTACCTATAATTTTAACATGACCTTATTCCCCGACACTTTTTCACATTGTTGTCATCCCTAATTGTTGTTTATATATTTCCTATATATGTTTGAGAATCTCTCATTTATTCTTTATTTATTTATCTGTTATTTTTAACATTATTGCTCTAAAACTTGTCAATTTGACACCCAAATCTTGTGTGAAATGTGATTTGGGTGATTTTCTCCTGAATAACTTAAAAATGAGATCTATTTTTACTCTTGATTTGGATTTTGTTTCTCTCAAGGTATATTAGCCAACTTTTTATACATACATACTATTATTGTTTAATTTAGAGTTAATAACCAAAATGGTCCCCTGACTATGTCGTAATTACCAATTTAGTCCCCAACTATCATTCTTACTCGATTAAGTCCTCAACTATGCAATGTTTACCTAATTTAGTCCTCTGTTAAATTATCTGTTTGTTGACCGTTAAAATTAGGGACAAAAATGTAAATCTACCAACTTTCTCCCTCCTTCCTCATTTAGCAGTGCCATTAGCAGTAAACTTTATCCACTTCAACACCTTGTATCTTCTCAAAACTGAATCAAAACCCAACAATCCAAAAACGTTCATCTTGCAGCTCCCAGAGTCGCGCCGCCGCACACGATGACAGCTTGGTGGGAGAGGAATATGCTGTCGGGTACTAAGGTTGTGAATAGCAATGTCGTCTCTGCGTTGTGAGTATCTGCAAAAAAAAAAAGGAATAAGGGTCAAATAGGCCATCCAACCGCCCACAATAATGCAATTAGGCTATTGAACTCAAAAAAGCAACAATTAGGTCCCTAAACTAACCCATTTCAAACAATTTGTCCAATTTACAGGTTTTCCCCTTTCTAACAGGTTACTCAATTTAAAATATATTTTAAAAATAATTTTTTTAAAAAAATTTAATCCAAATAAACTAAAATTATTTATTAAACAAAAACAAAAAAAACAAAAAAAAAAAAAAAAAAAAAAAAAAAAAACTTAAACTTCGTCTCCGCCGGAGACGAAGAACATATCTTCGTCTCCGGCCATGGAGACAAAGGGACCTTCGTCTCCATGGCCGGAGACGAAGATCCCTTCGTCTCCATGGCCGGAGACGAAGATCCCTTCTTCGTCTCTGGCCGAAGACGAAGAGTCTCCTCGTCTCCATGGCCGGAGACGAAGAGTCTCTCGTCTCCGGCCATGGAGACGAAGAATGGATCTTCGTCTCCGGCCAGAGACGAAGAACGGATCTTCGTCTCCGGCCAGAGACAAAGAACGGATCTTCGTCTCCGGCCAGAGATGAAGAACGGATCTTCGTCTCCGGCCAGAGACGAAGAACGGATCTTCGTCTCCATGGCCGGAGATGATGATACCTTCTTCGTCTCCGGCGGAGACGAAGTTAGTTAGTTTTTTTTTTTTTTTTTTTTTTTTTTTTTTTTTTAATAAATAATTTTAGTTTATTTTAATTATTTTTTTTTTAAATATTTTTAAACATATTTTAAATTGGGTGACCTGTTAGAAAGGGGAAAACCTGCAAATTGAACAAATTGTTTGAAATGGGTTAGTTTAGGGACTTAATTGTTGTTTTTTTGAGTTCAATGGCCTAATTGCATTATTGTGTGCGTTCAGTGGCCTATTTGACCCTTATTCCAAAAAAAAAAAAAAAACAAAAAAAAAACAAATCAGGTCTTTCAAGGAGGAGCTTATATAAACCTTTCGAAAGAGATTACCGTCGTCGTCGAAATACTGGAGACGATTGGCTTGGAGCTTTCCTTGATTTTCTTCAGAGTAATTTATTGTGTAATACCAATTGGAATTGGGGTCACGCCGGAGTACTGGGTAAAAGATGAGAATGCTCATCCTACAAGTATTAGCATGAAAAGAAAATCTGAAAACCAAATAAATAGTCTTCCAATCCTTCTTGTCTCAGTCAAAATGCTGTTAAACAAACTCTATTATTCACCTTTAATTTGTAATTTGCTAGGGTAGAGAGACTGAGATCAGAGAGTCAAGAGAATTCTTGAGGAATTCACTCATATATTCAAATTAAAAATATGTGGCAGATGGGTCTCATCAGTACGTGTATATAAATGCGTCCTTTTGTAGAGCTTTATTCATTGAAATCCAATGCACATATTCTTAGTTTAGCATGCTGGTTTCCTAATAATAATCCCATGGTAGTAGTTTTATTTTACGCAATATTTCCAAAGTTTGTGTATTTGATTGTGATTTCAAACATCCTCACTAGCAACCGCAAAAGAATGAAGATTTTGGATAAGGCCGGAATTAAACCTCATTGCACAGACAGAGAACTTCTTGAATGAAGTTTTCAGTTTCTGGGTGGACACAATCAAAGCCCTTCAAAGTTATGAAGATCAGAGGTTCATCCTAATGCAGAGTGTTTCACCTTTGTCTCCAGATGCATAGAATTCTTGACAGTAAAAGCTTTTGCTGATCCAAATTTAATAAGTCGTAAAATCGTAACGCAAGGTGATGCTATTTTCTGGAATGGAATAGATTTAGGCTCCAAAGCTTCATACAAAATTTGGTTGAGCGAGGATCTCCACAGCCTACAAATCTGCTATAGATGTTGTGAAGAGTAAGCTTGAGGTCGCCGGAATGTCATGCATGGTTGCAGTAGCTTGGGATAAAAGCCATGAACATTTGTTGCAAGGTTTGGCACCGCTAATGGCATGTTAAATGAGGAAGGAGGAAGAAAGCGGGTAGATTTACATTTTTGTCCCCAATTTTAACG